TTATCTTTGTCTTTTGTATCGCTTTGTTATCTGGAGGGAAATCCTGAGATCTTGGCTTTATAACCAGCGAGAATATTCTCTCTGGTCTCTGCCAGCCAGGGGGCGCAAGTGTTGGCCTGCATCAGGCAGCCAGCCAAATAGGCTGGGAAACCAACTCATAAGTTGGTAAGAAACATTCTATTTGTTGGACTGTGCCGGCTCTCAGGGGAGTTTGTCTTAATAAAGAGGGCCCAGTCATAAGGCGACTTTGTCATCTCAACCTTCATTGTCTTGATAGAGCTGGGAAACACCATCAGCATTGCCCAGCTGGTGCCACAGATTAGTGGGTCCATGACTGGAGACATCTCACATTCTCATGGGAGACTGAAGACTCTGTTTTCAAGAACACTATTCTTACTGCCTGTGACAACAGAGGTCTTTGCTTTTTTTGGCTAATTCTGAGAGTAAACTTTCTGAATCTTGGGAGGACTATTCTGAGAGTGAACTTTTGCACTCTCTTTGGGGATGACTCTTGCATCCATGGTTAAGCCATAAAAGGCTTATTGGTTTTAAGTCATAAAAAAGCTTACTGGTTTTGAGTCACAATTAAGGTAGATATACCTTTGGAAATTTGGACTTTCATATCTAAAAGATTTTTTATTTTTAAAAAGCTTTCATTCTAGGGCTGGCCCGGTGGCGCACTGGATAGTGCGCCGCTTGGGAGGCGCGGCGGCGCTCCCGCCCGAGGGTTCGGATCCCACATACAGACCGGTTCCCGCTCACTGGCTGAGCGAGGCGCGGGAGCAACACTGAGGGTTGCGATCCGTTGCCGGACACGGAAAAAGACAAAAAGACAAAAAAAAAAAAAAAAGCTTTCATTCTAAATAAATGTCCCATTGTTACCTATGGGAAGATCAGATTGAAAGGAAAAAATTAATATTGCAAAGATGAGAATCAATTCATATAAATTAATACGTTTTGTGTTTCTGAATATATAGCTAACTCATGGCTAAATTTTAAAATGAAACTATAAGATGTCTGTTTGCATCTGTCTGTATGTTTATGCTTATGTATATGTGTTATGTATATGCGATATTTTCCTACTTCTGGATGATATTGTATCATCACTTGACAGTCTGATCCAGCATGTCTGGGAAGAGGCTCTAGAATCTTCATTTTTAAAAAGATTCTGACAAACAGCCAAGATTGGGGACTAATTATCTGGTTCTTGACATCTCTAAATCAGTTTTCTTTAGTGCACAACACCTTTTCTCATAGCTAAAAATGATCGCTGAATCCACACTGTAATAATTCTTGCGATCTATAAGGATGGACACCCCAAAGAAACTGAACAAGAAGCCAAACAAGAGCTCAAGGGATTTATGACTTGTGTGTCTTGTATGGACTATGGAGGGAAGCAACAGATCAACTTGGGAAGTAACAGATCAACGTGGTAAGCAGCAGAAGCGTGATCAGTAGCAGAAATGTGATCATAGTAATGCAACCGTATTAGTAGCCAATCAATAACACGGAATCCAGCAGGAATTTCAACTGGATTCCAACTACAGCTATCAGGATTATAGAGGCTACTAGAAAAATTAAGTGAGAATGTCAATGAGACGCACTGCTTAATTCCCTATCTGGCTCTAGCACTGTTTCTTTTTTCTTTTTCCTTTTCCTTATTGATAAAGATATTTCTTGAGTAACTCAGGCTTATTGTACAAAGTAGCAATTCCTCCCTCTCTCTCTGTCTTCTTCCTCCCAAATTCCACTTCCCAGAGAGTAATCCTTAATAACAGTTTGGTATGTATCCAAAAAATTTTTGTAGCATTGTTCTCGAAGGTGTTTAAAGTGTTCCTTCTGATAAACAGTTTCTTTAGTCTCAAACCAGACTAACTAGTCTTTCACCCACTTATTAAAGTGTTGAATTCCTTTTGATAATCAGGAAACAGTCAGCATTTTTTTTTTTTTTCTCTTGAGGCCAGAAAGGCAGGCATAAAGGGGCGGGGGCATTCTAATTTAGTTTTCCGATAAATCGAAACTTTAAAAAGACAGGAACATGCTAGTTTCATTTTCAGAGAAGTCAAAACTTGGCATTCTTCCTAGGCTTGCTTTTCTGCAGAGGGCTCAGATTTGAGAGCCATTTCTTCCCTCTGAGGGTTACCATTACCCTCAGTTAAGCTGCAGACTCCTGAATAGATAAATAAAATAAATAAAGTTCCCAGAACTTTCTCTTCTTTTCAGCACCTCAACCCTGTGGAATTTTTTAATTCCCAAGATAAATACAGATTATCTGGAGAGACCCAAGCCATGCCCATTCAACAGAAAGGATGGTCTCAAAAAGAGACCCCAAAACTCTAAAATGAAAATCCACCCTGTGGCTATGGACCCTTCCATATATGCTGAAGTAGACACATTAGATCCACACTTTTTTTTTTTTTAATTAGTGAAATAGACAGAGAGGAGAGCTGTCCATAGGTGGAACTCACCTTCCAGCTGAGCCAGGGATGCAGGATTCAGGATTTGAACCTAGAGCAACCTGGCTGAGGTCTAAGACAGAGAGAGGTGAGGAAGTTTGTCAGAGTTCTGGGGAACAAACCTTCAAATGGGAAAAAAGAGGAGTTAGAGTCTTGGTAGGAAGGGATGCCTGTGAGGAGTCTATATCTGTTCCCCAATTGGTTGATCTCTATGAAAAAGGTTTTCTTGTTTTTCATAATGTATACACTGTTTTGTTTTCAGGAGAGATTTAAGACATATTGACTGGGAAGCTATGATCTGGTTGGATTTTTAAAAATTAATTAATTTTAATGGACACGTTGTAATTGAACATATTTATGGGGTAAAAATCTGATGTTTTGATAACATATATACATTGTATAATGATCTGGACAGGGTAGTGAATGTATCAATCACCTCATCACTTATCGTTTCCTTGTGGCAAAAGCATTCAAAGACCTCTCCTCTAGCTATTATGCAGTATACAAAAGTTCGTGGTTAACCGCAGTCACCCTACTGAGCAATAGATCACCACAACTTATTCCTCCTATTGAATTAGGATTTTTTTTTTCCTTTTTGTCTTTTTTCGTGTCCGGCAACGGATCGCAACCCTCAGTGTCGCGCCCGCACCGGACCGGGACCGGCAATGGGATTGCAACCCTCGGTGTCGCGCCCGCACCTCGCTTAGCCAGTGAGCGGGAACCGGTCTGTATGTGGGATCCGAACCCTCGGCGGGAGCGCCACCGCACTCCCAAGTGGTGCACTGTAGCAGTGCGCCACCGGGCCAGCCCTGAATTAGGATTTTGTACTGTTGGCCAACCTCTCCCTATTTTCTCTTCCCTCCTCCACCCCTCCCCAGCCTCTGGTAACCACTGTTTTACTCTCTGCCTCTATAATATCAACTTTTAAAAAAATAATAGATTCCATATATGTGTGAGGTCATATTTATTTCTTTCTGTTCCTGGCTTCCTTCACTTAGCATAATGTCCTCCAAGTCCATCCATGTTGCCACTGATGACAGGATTTCATTCTTTTTTGTGGCTGAATAGCTGGATTTTTGAGGTTTTTTTTTTTCTTTTTTTTTTTTGCAATTGTGTCAAAAATACATTTACCTTTTTTGTTTACCAACATTAATGAAAGCAGATACTTGTGAAAGCTCTGGGGAAGTGAACTTGCTCAACTTTAGTTGCTTCCTGAAATCCTTCTGGAGATGAGGCACAAATGAGCATGTAATTATGAATAATTTAGCAGGTGGATGGTTGAGAAATATTTGCCACTCTGCATTAGAAAAACAACAGCCTGGCCCAGTGTGATGTTTCTTTGTGGCTTGTGTTTGCCAGACCCTTGTGGGTTCAGGGCCCTACTTTCCTATACCATTCTTCCCCTCTCCAGGCCACACCCCAAGCCGCTCCAGGGGCCCCACTGCCCGCCTCCAAGTTTTTAACTGGACTTGATTGACCTGGTCTTCATATATCAAAAATCTTGATCCCAAATCTTGGCAGAGATTTTGCTTCTGGTTACAGAAGCTTTGGCATATCTTGGTTCTCTCCCACCCTTGGATCTTATTTCTCTCTTTCATTGTTTGGTTTAGCTTCTTGTTTCTCTCACAAACAGCTCCCAGCAGTGAGTAGGTCCATTTTGGTTCTTATCCATTGGGTTGGGGAGGAAGAGGAGCAAGTCAAATATTAGATATGAGTTTCAGTCAATCACCAGGGCCCTCAGTTTACTTCTAAATGCCTCTCAACTATGTCTACTTTTTTCATCTCCACTGTTACCACCCTAGTCCACATCACCATCTTTTCTCATCTGGACTACTGAAATAGCACCCCAAAAGGTCTTTTCCATAACTGCTCTAGCCTCCTCCAATCCACTCTCCATGCTTCAGCCACAAAGAACTTTGTAAAAAACGGACATCTGATGCGGTGTCTTCCTGCTGAACATCTTCCAATGGCTTCTCATTACTCTTAGGATAAAGCCCAAATCCTTAAATGGCCTACCAGACAATGCACAATCTGACACTTGACCTCCTTTCCAGGCTCCTCTCCTTCCTCTCTGTCCCTCCATCTTTGTGCTGTCAGTCTTCTGAACTTGACCTACCTCTTTCTACTTCTCTCTGGAAAGTTCTTTCCACCCTTCTTCACCTAACTAAGTCTTCACCTCGTTTACTTTCTTCAGATCTTAACTCAAATATTACTTTTTCTGGAAAACCTTCTCTGAACCCATTCCCCTTCCAACTGCCAGGCAGAAACAGTGGTTCTGTTGTAAGTTCCCCCAACATTCTAAAGTTTTGTTCATAATAGTCATTTGTTTACTGTCTACCTCCTTCTCCAAATTATGACCTCCTTGTGAGCAGGGACCGTCTTTGTTTTGTTCACCACTGTCTCCTCTGGATTTAGCACAGTGCTAGGACAAATAATAGATGTCCAATAAATGTTGAGTAAAATATTTATGATTATTCAGAATTGGGAGCAATCTCAATGTTTAACAATTGAGAAATGCTTGATTCATTAATATAAACCTGCTCGATGAAATGTAAGGTAGCTTTTGAAACATATGGTTGTAAACATAATAACCTCAAAGGTTTGTAGAAGTGTGAAATGATAAAAGCAGAATTCAAAATTTTGTTCATTTGATGCTCACAATTTGTTTTTAAAAATGTAATATTATTAAGAGAGATAAGGGAGATATGTATGAAAGGGTAATTGATTGTCATAATAATATTTGTAAAATATATTAAACAAGGATAAGACTGAATTTTGTAGCATGCCTTATTTTTTATGTGTCAATGTATATTTAATAATGTAATAAGTATTTGATTTTGAAGTTTTAAAAAAGTTCTCCAGGAAACCCAATATAACCAAGTACTTTATACAATTTTCTTTGATTACTTTCCTGATGTTTCTCTCTGTTATTAATTTATCTGAGTTCGCAACTTTTAAATTAAGATTACTTTCGATTACTTTCCTGATGTTTCTCTCTGTTATTAATTTATCTGAGTTCGCAACTTTTAAATTAAAACCAGTGTTGCTTTTCTTCCTATTTTTAGAAACTGATCATTAGGGCTGGCTGATTAGCTCAGTTGCTTAGAGCTTGGTGTTGTAACACCAACGTCAAGGGTTCGGATCCCCATACCAGCCAGCTGCCAAACAAACAAACTATTCATTTATGTTCCCAAATTTCTTGATATATATTTTGATGGCATAGGATCTCTCTTAGTCATTATTTTAGAAGAAGAAATCTACCAGAGCTTCCTATTTATTGTTTTTCCTTTAGGTTTTAAAGGGAGAAGAAAAGGTTAGGTGCTCTCAAGCTTGCCATTTCAAACAAGATGATCCAGACTTTTAGATATAGAAGGGAGTTGCCAAAATGAAAATATTTATCCAAGAAAACTAATTAACATGCAGTACTTGAAAGAAAATGTCCATAGGAATAAACATTAAGATGATTTGAAGCTCATATGTCACAAATGGCACATTGTACTAGTAATCTGGCAAGAACACTTTAATGCTTATAAAATATAGAAGAACATAGTTATAAACATAAATTTTATTACAAGGAACACGGCAGACATAGGCATAAGACTGTGAATTACCTGGCCTTCTAAATAATTTACTGCTCAGTGCTCTGTATCCTTTTCACACCTGCATCAATCACAATTTTATTTGTTCAGAGCTCTTTTTAGATAATAAAGATGAAAGAAAACCAAAAGAAACAAAAACAACACTCTTAATTTTGTTAATTAATCAAATAATTGCTTTTCAATTTTCCAATTTCCTTCTGCCATTACATTCATGATTCCCTTTGTTTTGTGTTCCTTTGTGATCAAGTTCTTTTTCTAATTTTTTAAAATTTTGATACAAATCACTCTACTTTTATCTTTCTCTCTTACCAATATAGGCATTTAGGGCTATAGATTTTTCTCCACATATGTTTAAGCCATGCCATGGTAATTTGGTGTGACCTCAACCATCAATGTCCCGCAGGGAGATTCTCTGTGTCTCTTAACAGCACTTAGTGTGCTCACAATGAGCACTCATTGAATGTTTCCTGTACTAATGAATCAAAAAACAAAATGTTTTCAGGGTGTGCTGGAATGTATAATCAAGCAAAAGAAAAAAATGACTGTGCAGATTATAGCACAATTCTGAGAGTCTTAAGAGTCCCCTCCTCACCACGGTACTGCTGAGTTTTATTGATTTGCACATGCATTCCCAGACACAAGTCTATTTTTGTTTTCAAGTATATTTTATTTTATTTTTATTTCTTTAAAAAATTTTATTGGATGTGCATATTCATGGGGTACAATGCTAACTGTTGCCAGTTGTGCCCAAGATGTGATGGCCACATCAGTACTATCAGCATGTCATTACCACAAATTGCAATTATTCCCTGTTTCCCCCATCCAGTTAATCCCTGACTTCTCTCCCCATCTCCGCAACTGTAGGTAAGCTCTCTCCCTCTGCAAGTCCGACACACCACTGTGGCCTTTCTTTACTTCCTTCTTTCTCTTAGCCTCCACATATGAGTGAGGATATGCAGTATTTTTCTCTCTGTGTCTGGCTTATTTCACTCAACATGATTTTCTCCAAGCTCAGCCATGTTGCTGTGAATGGCAGATTTCATTCTTTTTTTTCTTTTTGGTCTTTTTTCGTGACCGGTAAGGGGATCGCAACCCTTGGCATGGTGTCGCCCGCACCACGCTCAGCCAGTGAGCGCACCGGTCATCCCTATATAGGATCTGAACCCATGGCGGGGGCGCCGCTGCGCTCCCAGCGCTGTGCCCTCCCGAGTGCACCACGGGGTCGGCCCGAATTTCATTCTTTTTTATGGCAGAGTAGTATTCCATGCTGTATGTGTACCACATTTTCCTTATCCAGTCATCCATCGATCATAGTTTTTTGAAATCATAATGGCCCAGGACACCATTATCTCTCAGTTGGATCACTGCAAAACCCTCCCTACTGGTCTGCTGCTCTCTACTTGGTTCTTCACCCTGAATTAAAATTTGGGACCCCACCCTTCAAAAAATTACAATACAGTAAAATTAACTTTTTGGTGTACAGTTTTATGAGCTTTAACTCATGAATAGATTTTTATAATTACCACCAAAATCAGGACACAGAAAAAAAATTGGGGGCTGCCCATTTTTAGTCATACCCTCCCCCTTCCCCTAACCCTTAGCAACCACGGATCCCTTCTTCACGGTTTTATCATCTCAAAAAAAAAAATTGGGGGCTACCCATTTTTAGTCATACCCTCCCCCTTCCCCTAACCCTTAGCAACCACGGATCCCTTCTTCATCAGTACTGTGTCTTTAAAAATGTCTACTGTTCATGTCGCTCCCTTCCTTAAAGCCCTTCTTTGGCTTTCCACTGTTGTAAACAGTGGCCCTTTTCTAACTCTCTAGCCTCTTCTTTCACCATTTCTTTCCTTACCTCCCAATTCCCTACTACTCTTAAGTTCTGGCCAGGCTGAACATCTCTACTGCTTTAATACACTATTTCCTTTGCTGATTTCAGGCCTTTTTGATACCAGAGGACACTCAGCTCCTGGCTGAAGCTCCCCAATATCTTGTTACCAAACCCAGGTCTGGCTGCCTGGCCTCTTTCAAAAGCAAACCACTCAAAAGTCAAACGTTGGTGAAAATGGAAGTCAGCTTTTATTCAGGAACACTGGTGACCTGACGAGAGATGTTAGGCTGCCCATCTCTCTGGCAGACCTGAAGGAGAATGGGCAGCCTAAAGCCATCTCCAAGACTCAGGTTCACTGAGGGATTTTTCTTTTCCTTTTTGTCTTTTTTACTGACTGGTAACAGGATCACAACCCTCGGTGTCATGCCCATACCGGGGACCGGCAACGGGATCGCAACCCTCGGTGTTGCGCCCGCACCGCGCTCAGCCAGTGAGCGGGAGCCGGTCTCCACATGGGATCCAAACCCTCAGCGGGAGAGCCACCATGCTCCCAAGCAGCACACTCTCCAGTGCACCACCGGGCCAGCCCTTACTGAGGAATTTTTAAAGAGGGGGTACAGAAAATGGGACATGGGAAATGAAAGCAGGAGGGAGGGGGGCATGAGCTGTAGGAGCTCTGTGCAAGAAGCCAGGTGCAAGGTCTTTCGAAGGCTCGACCTGGTTTCTGTTCCCAGCCTTGCTGTTATCTCTGTGTCCTGCTAACCCATCTTTCTGGTCTGAATAGTACATGTCTTGTGGGGAGTTTGCAGCTTCAGGTTGGCTGGAAAACAACTTTATACTCATGTAAATAATGTCATCTTACTCCATAACCAAGATTCGAGATATCAAATAACCATGGGAAAAGAGAGAACACAGAAAAAACTTTTTTTTGCCAAGGAAAAAACCTGTGTCCTTTTAAATTTTTTAAAATTTGCCTGTCTAGTGGGCCTCCCATCACCAGACCAGTGTACCCCAAGAAAGGCCTGGAACATAAAAAGGATTTCCAGCAACTCTTATTTCAGGTAGTAACTATGGCTTGCTTAGGTGACACCAGCCAATTTTTATGTTACAGTAAAGGGAGATAAACTGTAATGTTTGGTTTTGAAAATCTGGAAAGTTTGCTCTGCAGACCCATGTACACAAGGTGATTATATTACAAGCCTATTGGTGATAAGTAGTTTACAAATTAATCGTCACTGACCCCACTGGCTAAGGCAGCACCATATATAGAATCCAGGAACACAATTGCCCTTAAAAACTATTTGGTTTTGTAGTTGCCAAATCTGACTGATCATCAGTATTTCTAGTTATTTTTTAAAGTACAGATAACTGGGTCCCAACTCCAGCCTTAATAAATTAGAATATCTTGGTATAGTGCCTCATAAAATGTGCATTTTTTATCCATCTACCCTCATGATTATGATGCTAATCCAGATTAGAAACCTTTATCTAGTCAAACTGGAATCATACACGGCACCAAGGAGCAAATATACCTTCCACCCCTGCCAGATTTTCCAGAGGTGTGGAGGTTATGAACATGAAAGAAGAGCATACATCTAGATCAAGATGTAAAACAAAACACATTAAATAAAATAAAGGTGAATCATTAATTTTTTTCAGGTTTCAGGTTTAGGAGAAACCTGTAGCTGAGCAAAAACAAAAATTCAGGACCAAGGACAATGCCTGTTCTCTACTCTCATCCCTTGCTACCATGATAGGTTTTGCCTGGGAGTGCATTATTACCTTCTTTCTAGACTTCTAGAGAGGGGAACCACTTGCTTAAGTCTATATAATAAGTCAATAGCTTATCTGGCACTAGAATTTGATACGTAAAAGTCCTGTATGTGTGTAAATATCTATCAAGGATCATGAAGTTGATAGACAATGACTGCCCCAATTAAGATTTCATTTTTTCCCCTTATCTAATTGAGGTTCTGCTTTCATTTGTTATATCTCTCTTTTTCCCCTTTAGAACACATGATCACTAAAATAAGTTTTGAGCACCTTCTTCCTGGGAGTGTTCCATCTACCCCCATCAACAGGGACTGTTTGGGAACATTTTGAGATTTAGACACTTTGCAAATAGGAAGGGCAACAGACCTAATATTTCCCAAGCAGCTATAATGGGCCAAATACTTTATGCTATTTTCATTTATTCCTCCCCATAGGAGATGTGCTATTGTTAGTTTTGTTTATCAGATGAGGGAGCATGGTCTTAGAAAGATTAAGAAATTAAGAGCTACAATGGCACAATTGATTAGTGCATGGTACTCGTATGACAGAGAGGTTAAGGAATTTCCCAAGACCATAAACATAAAAAGACGTGGACTTAGATGAGGTATGCTAGATAGTTCAAGGCTTCTTTTCCTTTATAATTCTAATATAATAATATTTACAAAAATGTAAAATGTACATAATTAATAATCATTATAATAATCAACCAGTTATAATTATTATAATTAATCATCATAATAAATATTTTTCCCCAAATTGATCACTCTTTCCATGTTTAGTGCAGCCAGGACATTTGCAAAACAATCCCGAATCCCTCTGGATGGAGCTGTCCTCACAGCATGAAGGACTGGAAGATTTAATAAATAAACAAATGCATCCTTTCTCCCAGGGAATTCTGATTCTGTCTAAAAGCTGGGCTGTGGACCTGAACTTGCGAGAGAAGCAGGCAATCATGTGTGATGCCCTACTGATAGTACGGAATAGCCCTCCCATGCTATATAGCATTCTCAGGGAGCAGGATGCAGCGGGGCAGGACTACTAAACCCACGCTGCCTTTACTTTGAAGCAGAAGCTGGTACACACAGGGGGCTACACCGGGAAAGTGCATGTCAGGACAAAGGTCCTCTGTCTGAGTTCTGAGAGCAATGCAGAGTCCTTGAAGGGTTTAGGCTCTATGATAGGTTACCCAGGGTCCTATAACCTTGCAAACACCCAACAAATGGAAGCCTTGCTGCAGTCCCTCGTAATTTTCTTGCTTGGTTTCAATCTTACTTGAGTGACCAGCTCAGGTGTGAGGTTTTAAATCTGCTCACAAGAGGCTGGCTGGTTGCTCAGTTGGTCAGAGCACAGCCTTACAACACCAAGGTCATGGGTTCGGATCCCCATACTGGCCAGCTGCTAAAAAAGAAAGAAAGAAAGAAAAGCAAATCTGCTCAGAGAATTGTTTGTGCATGGCTTACCTGGCTCAAGGAAGACAATCATGGCCATGAAGACCATGGAGAAAATCAGGAACATGATTCACTGTGAGGCAAATAAAATTCTGTACATTTGTGAAGAATAGCCTCTGAGGACCTTTATCAGGTAAGCAGTTGGATCTTATTTACGTAAATGTAACTTAATCTGGGTTTAATTTTCACCTTGTTCCTTGAGTATTAGGTGGCAAAATGATATGTGACAACAGTACTGTGTTCAGGGGAGCATGATAAAATAATTTTTCCCTTTGTTTAATTAGAGAAAACCTGAGTGTATTGTTTTAATTTTTACAGTAATATAAATATCTGCCAAGCAGTGACCTGGAAAACCTTCATGAAAAGGAAAAATGACTTTGAAAGTATTCAGCACATCATCATTGATGAAGCTCAGAATTTCTGTTTTTTTTTTTGGTCTTTTGTCTTTTTCCGTGTCCGGCAATGGATCGCAACCCTCAGTGTTGCCCCCGTACCGGACCGGGGACCGGCAACGGGATTGCAACCCTCGGTGTTGCCCCCACGCCT